TCTTTGGCCATAGGGAATAATGTCACTGACAGCCGTCTAACGTCCCAGGGGCAACTCCCATGGCAACATGGTAGAGTTGGTACTTAGTGCTCGCCATGGTTCTGGCATGCACTCCCCTCAGCATGGCGGCGTGGGTATACCGTTCCCCATAGCGAACCCTAGAGGACGCAGCTCGAAGTTCCCATGAAAGGGAACGTCTCAGGTTACTTATGTAACCATGGTTCCCTGAGTAGGGAACGAGACACTGCGTCCTCTAGGTTTCTTGCCATGCTGCAGACGCAAGCTTCAGACGAAGAAGTGGATGATGTGTTCTCCCGGCACCTATTTATACTATAGTCGCACCGGTAATGACGTCATGGCTGTCGCCGGCCAACGTGTTGTTGATGTTTTTTCTAATGTATGCTTCAGACACGGGTCATGACGAGGCGTTCCCCATAGCGACCCCTAGAGGATGCAGTGTCTTGTTCCCTACTCAGGGAACCATGGTTACATAAGTAACCTGAGACGTTTCTTTTATTGTGCAACACATACTGTACTGCATGAAAATACAAGTTCTAAATGTAATGCACATTATTTGCTGATGCTGGCTTACATGCCAGTATGCAAAGAAAGTAGAGTAGTACCGGCACCAATTTTCATCCTGGTTTATGAAAATATCAGTAGGTAACAGTGTTTGCGCCATTGGATTCACCTGATCCTGTGATATGAAATCATATTTTTGTTTGCTATATATTATGATACAGAACAATAATCAAATCTAACCCATGGATGATTTTACATCATATAAAGATGCTCTTCATAACCAGAGAGGAAGTTGTCTTTTAACTTCTAGTTTTAATGCTCCGTCAGTTTTATAGCCTTAGGTAGTGCAACGTCCAGTAATGAAATAAAATAGTGTGCGTTCATATCTAGGAACCTGTTTATATATCTGGTGACAAGAAAATCCCATATAAATGGACCGCGCCGGAGGCTATCGGTCATGGCCGTTACTCAGGCAAATCTGATGTCTGGTCATTTGGGATTCTCCTTTATGAGATTGTCACATATGGAGCTGTACCTTATCCAGGTCTGTTTCAAGATTTGAGATTGAATTTTTCTCATTTATACTGTTTATAATTTATAAATGATAAATATTTAATTACTGAAGTATTTTATACTGTACAAATTATTAAAAATATGTATAGTTTACAAATTTATCTTAGTCATTATAATTTGAATCTGTCTATTTAAGCCTTGTACCTTCTTTTATAGGTGTCCGTAATTGTGATGTGTATGATCTCGTCACACGAGACAACTACAGAATGCCTTCGCCACCTCACTGTCCACAGGTCATTTATAACATCATGCGATCTTGCTGGAAAGCAGAGCCAGAGGACCGTCCAACATTTAAGATTCTGAGGCATGAACTAGAAAACTATCAAGGCAACTGAGGGGACTTGCAAACATCCTGTGGTCTTAAACTCTTATATAGCAAAACAAGACTGACCTTGAACAATTCTTAAAGACAGATGCATCATACAATCATCTTGGATTATTCCACCATATCAGTTTTCAGATAAAGAGGAAGATGCACGTATAAAGCACTTTTTGTAGATTTATTTATGTTTAGAGCAATTATTGACTGACTTTAATGAGACTATGCTATTGTTTTTTTTTTTGTAATAAACATTGTTGTTCTCAGGTAAAGTGTACTGATTGAATGACCAAAAAAAAAAAGTTTATAAATCTGTAACTGACAGTGTAGGGGCAAGTTAAAATGTCTGTTTTATTATTAATATAATTTTGAAAAAAATGTATTGGTTGTATGTATACTTTTTTAATGTTTCCTCTTCTTAAACCTCTAATGCAAATATGAAAGCAATATAGTGGAATATTTCATCATACAAGTGGAATTATAATTTTCAGTATGAAGCTAGATTCATGTGTCAAAAGAGCATATGCAAAATGCTATGAAATCAACATAAAAGACTTTATGCTTTATGTTGATTTGTATACTTTAAATATTGTGCGATACTGACTGGACAATACAATTTATAAAACGGATAGTTCCGGTCCTTGATTCTGATTGGTTGAGCCGCGTTCGAAGCTGTTGTAAATTACACTACAAACATACACCTTTGTTTACTTCTGTGTGTTGCTCAGCAACCACTTTGTTGTAACACAACTGTTTCTGAGGAACTACATTGTTTGGTAGAAGAATACTGTTTTTATTAATACCATTACGCTTTATTTGCTCCGTTTTATTCTGTGAAACCTTGCTAGGTATATGGAATAACTGTTTTATAAAAGCAATAAGCCCCGTGAAGCGTGGTTTACAGTGAATTTATAACAGCTAAGGGGCGTTGTTAGGCACGACGCGAAGCGTCAACCACGGCTTCTTGGGGCTTATTGCTTTAATGCAATATACTGACTGTATATTGTAATGTATTGTTAATGTTTGTTTTCCTCATGACAATCTTACATTGACCAAAAAAAAAAACTTCCAAGAAAGAAAAAATGCCAAAACATGCATAAATATGTTGGACCTACTTTGATTAATTAAAATAATAATAATACTTACTTTTTAACATTTTTATCCAGAATGACGCAGCAACGGCATTACGTAAGAAAATAGTAACGATAGGCAAGGATTGCGATCTGCAAACTCAAAGGTCTTGGGACTTATTTAGATAACAGTGTTTATTTGTTTTGGCAAGTGTCATATTCATAAAAATATTCATATAAAAATACTTGATGGAGCTGGTAATGAGCTGATCCATAGGGTCATTGTTGAACTTCTCACAATAGGTAAACCAAGGAATGAGGCCTGTACAATATGAAATGTCACCAGCAGATGGCGCCACACCATTATTTCAGTGGTGATCTGTAGTATGCAACCAAGAAGTCTATTTTTTATTCAGTTTTATTTAGCTGCATGTCATTTACTTATAGCATGGATATAATAAAGCATGAAAAAGCATAAAAGTGATTTCAGAGCATGTTTATCAAATTTATATGCTTATATCATGAGGGACAGTATGGCGTATCCATACACACTGCCACCTTGATGCTTTTACTACAACAACAAACACAATACACCTCTATGAGGGCTTTTCTCTCTTCTTCAACAGTAATGAAGACAAGAACTGCTGATGTATGGGATCATGTTCGTCGCTGTCATTATCATCATCATTAGAGACAGGGTCATTCTCATTCCTGTTATTCCTTTTAGCATAGCACATTTTAGCATATATGGTATTTCTTTATGGCAATATCAGAATGAAATGTACATAGCGTGATTTATCAATACTTTCGCTACTTTGGTTTACTATTATGTTTCCATTTTTAGCGATATGCCATATTAAAAACTCCCACTTTATTAAGAAATATTACTGATGAAATATGTCTGTAGCTTTTTTTTTTTTGGTCTCTAATCTTTTATAGGTTTTAATTTCCACCCTGTTAGTGTTTAATTTAACCAAAAATCCAGTTCCTTATGACATCCTCCAGAAAGTGATTAATTTAGGTGGGAAAACAACATAGATAGACATCAGTAAGTGATGGATTTAATAAATATGTATGGCTTTATGTTTTTAAAATTGACGTTATGTTGACATCCACATGTACAGTCGTGGCCAAATGTTTTGGCAGTGACATAAATTGTGTTTTGCAAAGTTTACTGCTTCAGTATTTGTAGATTATTTTTGCACATGTGTCTATGGTATACTGAAAAACAATGATTAGCATATCATAAGGTTTAAAGGCTTTTATTGGCAAAAAATATAAAAGGAGTCAATATTTACACAGTGTTGACCCTTGTTCTTCATAACCTCTGACAGAAATAACACAGGAATAACGCAGTAATAACACAGGAATAACACCGTAATAACATGGTAATAACAGAAATAACTCAGGAATAACTCAGTAATAACACAGGACTAACAAAGTAATAACACAGGAATAACACAGTAATAACAGAAATAACTCAGGAATAACACAGTAATAACACAGGAATAACACAGTAATAACAGAAATAACTCAGGAATAACACAGTAATAACACAGGAATAACACAGTAATAACAGAAATAACTCAGGAATAACACAGTAATAACACAGGAATAACACAGTAAAACACAGGAATAACACAGTAATAACATGGTAATAACACAGGAATAACACATGAATAACAAAGATTAACACAGTAATAACAGTAATAACACAGTAATAACAGGAATAACACAGGAATAACGCAGTAATAACACAGAAATAACACAGGAATAAAACAGTAATAAAATAGTAATAACAGATTTTACTCAGGAATAACACATTAATAAAACAGGAATAACACAGGAATAACTCAGTGACAACAGAAATAACACAGTAATAACAGAAATAACTCAGGAATAACACAGTGATAACACAGGAATAACAAAGTAATAACATGGAAATAACACAGTAATAACACAGGAATAACTAAGTAATAACACAGGAATAACACAGTAACATGGAAATAACACAGTAATAACAAATTAATAACACAGTAATAACACAGATATAACACAGGAATAACACAAAATTAACACATTAATAACACAGTAATAACACATGAATAACAAAGTAATAACACAGTAATAACACAGTAATAACGCAGTAATAACACCTAACACAGGAATAACAAAGAATTAACACAGTAATAACAGAAATAACAGTAATAACACAGTAATAACAGGAATAACACAGTAATAAAATAGTAATAACAGAAATTATGCAGCAATAACACATTAATAATACAGTAATAACACAGGAATAACACAGACTTAACACAGTAATAACACCATAATAACATAAATAATACAGTAATAACACAGGAATAACAGAGTAATAACAGAAATCACAAAGTAATAACAGAAATAACTCAGGAATAACACATTAATAACACAGGGTTAACACAGAAATAACACAGGAACACAGTAATAACACAGGAATAACTCAGTAATAACACAGGAATAACACATTAATAACACAGTAATAACAGAAATTACACAGCAATAAAACAGTAATAAACACAGGAATAGCACAGGCATAACACAGGATTAACCCAGTAATAACACAATAAAAGAAAATACTTCTCACTCCACTACATTTCTATCAAGGTCCTCGAAGTAGAAAGTCGTTACTATGTAGCAGCTTTGAAAGTCAGTGGGTGATTTTTTTCTTCTCTAAAATGTTCTCATTTTTTTCAGACAGTTTATCAGTAATCACTCTTGTAGGGCTACATGAAGTGATTTCCCAGCATTTTTTGAACACTGCCCAGTTGCAAACGTGATATTTATTTACAACAATTCAATAATAAGAAGTTAATATTGTGGTATATATTAGACACAATATTGTCTGAATTTGCTAAATTGTGTACGTGAAAATATTACCTATAAAGCCACAGAAGAACTGTTGTGCATCTCCTAATAAAACACAATAGGTGTTGGACTTGAAGCAGCACTGCATAGACTGTTCTGTGTGTGACATCAAAGTAC